ATGAAGATGGTATCATCGGTGCTCTGACCTCATCATCAAACTTGATCCCAACAGAACACCACTAGCTCGTCACAATGTTGAAGTTATTGAGATGTGCTGCCACTGAATTATCCTCCACCTTCTTCATAATGAATAATTTCTTCATCAGAAAATTATTAAAAATGAAAGGTTTTTCATAAACCATGGCCAGTGTCGTCGTGAGATCCATCTAGTTTTCTCATTTATAATGTTGAACGCAACATATGGGGAAAGTGTCAACCTCATCAAACCTAGTGTTGTTCGATCCAACACTTCTCATTCCTCCATAGATATAGATTCAGTTTACATTATAATTCCTTGCAGTTGCAAGTATAATCTTTTCTAATACAGCAAATCCTCCACTTTCATCTTCCCGAATATGAAGCTCATCCCATTGAGCTTCTCCACCTTGAACATTGCTTCTTCGATCATTGCTCTCACTCAAATTGAATCTCCTCCGCCTGCTCTGATACGTGTTTGTTAAATAAACTACTACAAAAGTCTCCTTTTAATTTCGTCTCGAAATATGGTCTCAGGATTCGAAAAAAATTTGAAACAAAAAAAATAAAAACAAAAGTATAATCAAAGCAATCAGAAAAACACGTGAAAATTTTACGTGGAAAACCTGAGAATGGGAAAAAATCACAGAGCCACACCACCAAAAATTTCACTATATAATTCAAAAAGTTTTACAAATGACACACATTCTTCTCCACATTCAAACGAAGAAACTTACAGGATTTGCGTCAACAATCTTCCCTCTTAAATCCGGCAAAAAAAATCACGCCACATCATCGAAATCCACCTCTTCGACACTCATCACCTTCACCAGGATGCTTGCCAAAGAATATAGAAGAAGAAACAGCAAAACTCAACAAAAAAGCTTGAAATCGGGATTAAAAACTGTAATCCCGTCACAAATTGTTCTACGCACCGAGCTCTCGGGTAGCTAGCGCCCCAGTGATAAAAGTGAGAGCTTAAGCACCCACATGGGTGCCTAAGAGGCCAAAATGGGCAGAGAATTTCCACTTGCTCATACTGCGAACACCCAATGAGCGCTTAAGCGCCAATACCCCGGTAACACTGTCTGCGAGAAAGTAAGCCTACCTGCTGCTAATGGGTGCTCCAATCGGACTCCACACCTAACATTCAGTTGAATCTCAATACTAGTCTAATATACTTTAGTGTAACTAGCAATGGCTCAACAATGTAGATTGTCTTGCTGCCAGTACCACTGCAAAAGAAGTTTAAATAATGATCAGATATTTGCGTCGGAAATTTTTTAGGCTGATATTTATGTCGAATTTGTGATTATTACACTACGAAAATTAATTGATGTTATCTGTGGCGGAATTTATGTCGGATTTGCTTCTAATTATTCAATGCAAAAGACTATTCCACGACGGCAAAATTTAGAGTAGATAAAATTTACGGTAAACGAAATTTGCAAAAGACAAATTTTATAGTAGCAAAATTTCAAATAAATCGACGTTAAAGATTCACTTAAAAGCCTCAAACAAAGCCAACACAAAGTAAACGAAAAATCTGACGTAAGAGAACTAAAATACCCACCCCGCGCCCTCCATTTCATTTTATACTTTGTGTGCCCCCGAAACACTCACATCTCCCCTCCTCCCTCTCACGACACCAAAACCCTCTCCCAATACCTCGTTGTCAAGGGTCGCCTCGCACTAGCCGACAGCGTCGCCCCTCTCTCTCGGTTCTATAACCGATCGAGAAATGTAAATGTTATTTGCCCCATTTTTTTCCTTCTAACTTTTTGGTATGTATGTAAGATTTAAAGTTTAGCTGTTAGGTATGTATATACATAAAATTTCTATGGTATGTATGCAAATCTCCATATGCATTGAAATTTAAGTGTTAGCTATGTATTTACAAAAGTATTGAGTGGTATGTACGAGAATCTAGATGGGGATGCTACAAGTAGAATTCAAGTTGGTTGGTTGAAGTAGTGGAATAATGCAACTGATCAATTGTTCAAAGAGATGTCAATTTAGATGGGAATGTTATTAGTAGGATTCAAGTTGGTTGGTTGAAGTAGTGGAGTAATGCATCAGTTATATTGTTCAAAGTGACGGTGATATAGATGGAAATGTTATTTGTAGAATTCACGTTAATTCATTGAAGTAGAGGAATGTATCGGGTCTATAGTTCAAAGTGATGGTGATAAACATGGGGGCTGATTGTAGAATTCATGTTGACTAGTTTAAGTGGAGGAATGCATCGGGTCTATTGTTTAAAATGATGGTGATATAGATGGGGATGTTATAATTTGTAGAATTCACGTTGGTTGGTTGAAGTTGAGGAATGCATTGAGTTATCGTTCAAAGTGAAGGTGATATAGATGGGGATTTTAATAGTAGAATTCAAGTTGGTTGGTTAAAGTAGAGGAATGCATCGAGCCTATTGTATGATAACAAAATATCGCTAATACTACAAAGAAATTTTCATACGACGCTGCTAAGACATGAAATACTCTATGGCATAGAATGTTGGCCTTTAAAAAGGAAGCTTAAAAAAACAAGAACAAAGGAATTATCATTTGAAAAAATTCACTTACAACTCGAGTGAAACTTCCCTATAACAATCAAACTCCCAACCCCTTCAAATCATAAACCAAATTGTGATAAATGAGTTCCCACCTCCTCTAAAAATAGTCAAATCTTCCGATGCCCGAAAAAATTCCTACTAGCTCTTCTACGCCATTAGATCCACAAAGCGATACACAAGCAGCTAGAAGGCAAATTTTCAAGCTCAAAATGTTTTTTTGCATGAAATTTGATGATTAATTGTTTGTGCAAGCATTCAAAAATCAAGATGATTTAAGAACTTCAAGATCTTCAAGGTCACTTTCAACTCAAATATACAATCTCAAAAAATGTGCAAAAGCCTTGAGATTTGTGTAAGTCTCGTAAAGTGCAAATTACTTTAAAAGTGTGTGTTTGACCAATCTAAATGTTTTCAATATATGGGTGTATTTCATGAGACAATCTTTCCAATACATCAAAATGCGAGCATAGGCCACTTACAGAAGCATTGAAAATTGTGAAGTGCATTGTGCAAGTATATTAAGATGCATACACTCATCATGAGGTGACAAGCAAAGCATTTTAAAATAAGTATGATTATACCCTGCAACGGCATTGAATAGTGTGATTACATCATACAAATGCATCAAAATTTACGCATGTATTGTTCCAATATTTCAAGAAATGCTCATATTATCAAAATAAAATACATGCATGTGTTCCGACCACATGCTGAAAATGCTGTGCATATTTAGATTTCCTTGAATTTTTAAAAATCATGCCTTAAAAGACATGCTAAATAAGTTGAATTGTCTAAATCTTTCAATTGAAAAATACTCACAATTGCTATGACGTTATCCAATTTGATCATACGCTTTAAAAATGCTGTGCAGATTTAAATTGCCTTGAATTTTTAAAAATCATGCCTTAAAAGACATGCTAAATAAGTTGAATTGTCTAAATCTTTCAATTAAACAATACTCATAATTGCTCTGACGTTATCCTAAACGTCAAAATTTGAATGCTGAGAATGCGATGGAAGCTGACAAAAATCTAAACTAAAATATGAACCAACTCGAGAAGAACACAAATTTTTTTAATTTTTATAGAATATATTTTTTAAATGTCAAACTGACGTTGAAATCTCTAGACGGCGTCTTAAATTTCTTCTAATCAAATTTTGATATTTCTCCAGAATTAATAACAAAAGACTTTCTCATCATTCAATGGAAGAAGAAGCACAAATTTTTGAAGCCTACAGTGACATTAATAACAAATACACTCGACAACCATTACTTTACTCAATAAAAATATCACATCACTATAAAGCATGGCACATAATGGCACAACATAGAACAACATTTCCTAATTAAGCCCTGAACAAGATTTGGATTACAATTAAATTTGATCTTTAAAAATTGTCACATTTAGAAAATGAACTTACCTTCAATTTAGTAATGAGAAGATGTGTCAACTGCACTGCCAAATCCCCTAAATAAGAGTTTGCATACTTGCTTTTTCTCCCATTACACAACAACAACAAGCCTTCGTCCCACTAAGTGGGGTCGGCAACATCAATCCTTTTTCTCATCCTATTGCCCATTTTTTACACAACTACAGGACAAAAAGTTCTCACCTATCATAATCAAACCAAGTATTTTGAAAGGTTCATTTAGGGCATCCAAATCTAGTCCTTGCTCCCTATATAGCAATTTCATATTAGAATAGACCAAAGAATAAAACATGCATACATACACACATAGATGCACATGCGCACAACTACCTAGGTCATGAAGGTCAAGCCAATGCAAAGACTGAGCATGTGCAAACATGCACCCTAATTCATGATGCTCACACCAAGACAAGGTTTGAGAACATGATCCTCATACAAATGTAAGGTTTGAAGAATCATTAAAAACAACATTACTTCTATGCTCAAATGGCATGTTCCTAAAGAATTGAGCCAATGAACACCATGTTATATTGTAAGCAACTTAAACGTAGCTCCAAAATGGACCTCGACTTTGAGCAAAAAAGTACTAAATTGAGAACAGTTAAGCTTCAACATGGAACAATATAGATCATGAAAAGTTCTAGTTACCATTCAAGTTGAATTTCACATATTAAAAATGGCATAAAATAATTCCAAAATCATTGTAAGAATTTCAATACTCCACTTGTACTAAAATATCCCGTCAAGTCTAGTTTGGATGAGATGAAAGGACTAAAAGCTTTCAACAAAAAAGGTTGTGATAAAGACCATCAATTGAGAATTATGTGCACAGCCGACAACCTAAGTAGTAAAATGCATTTTGATTAGATAATAATAATCCCCGTCTAAAAGGCTTGTAAGGCTTTGAGGTTCTTGTGGAAAATTTATTGCAGCTAAAATGCAAAAATCATACATATAGAACCGCAAGTGTGAGAGATAACCTTTTGAAGGTGCCAGAAACCTTTGCACCAAAGACATCAATGGCTGCGGAACGAAAAGTGCTTTTTCTAACTGTTGATATTTTGTCTACATAGTTAATCATCTGGAAGTACCCACTTAAAAGTGATTAGCCGCCAGACCAATGATTTGATAGGAAAAAGATAATGCAAAAGGAACCAATATAAATACACTAAAAACAGCTAAAAAATTCACCATTTTTCTTTCTTCTTTATCGCCAGGAAGTAGGGCCATGAAGGATTGGCGAAATGGTTTATCATCAAAACCTGGCAATGTAGTTTTAAGCATTGCCATAATTGCCTTTATTACCTGTGAGAAAAAGCAAAACAACAAAATCTTCTTGATGACCGAGGAGCATCCAAGAATATGAAAAGGGTACCCAAAATTATTTAACAAATATAAGCTAGCACTTCAGAAAAGTAACAGCATCAAGTAACTTAAAGAAAGAAAAAAATAGACAAAATTATCATATTAAAACCAAAAAATTTCCGCTTAAATGTCGCACAAAAATATTAAAGGAGACAAGGAGTGAACTAACAAGGGCAAACTTAAAAAGCTCATATCACATTTCATTAATCAATTGAGCTTAAATCTGAGCAACGTGATACAAAAAATTATGCATCTACAAATGGGAAGCATAAAATAATGATTGAATACTTTTAATTCATCCATACAAATATAAAAAACAAGTATGGATATCCATCTTGCGGTATATCTTTAGACATAATCTGGATGGCATTCTGCAATGCAGAGTATAAGAAAAGATGCAGTAAAAAACTACAAAAAACAGCTTTCCTCCTAAACGAATCAGCAAATCGACTACAGCAAATGGCTTTCCTCCTGAACGAATCAGCCTCAATTAAGAATAAAAAATACCAAAATCCCACAGCATCCATCTAGCTGATTGGCATGTATGAGAATCATCTTGTGCGATATAAGCAACATAACATAATCCATAAGGCAGCACAAAGTTCAAAACATGTCAGTGTAAAAATCATATAAAAAGACAAATAAAACTAACCCACGTTAGCAAATAAAAAGTTTTATCATTTTTTTAAGTTTGTTCTAAGCACAGCTCTAAGATTATATGATAAATGATTTCGTAAAACTATAGCATCACGAAAAACCAGCAAGCAATTCCAGCACTAAGGTTTAGCGAAAAAAGAAATAAGTAAAAAAGAAAGAGCCATACGATTTTAAAAAATAAATAAATAAAATAGCACATTGGTTTTAGGAAATAATCAATAAATTTTGGCAATCATAATTTTCCAAGCCATTAGAGTTGAATAGGTTACACGTCATGTAATTATATCAGTAAAAGTTTCATCAGATAAATTATTGCATGCATGAACGAGATAGCCTTTGCAACAAAACTCAAGCATCATTTTGCATCACCTAAAAAGATCCTTTAAGCAAAATAATAAAAATGATGTGGCCTGCAGCTGACTCCATTACTTCACGTAAATTTTGCTTAAACATACATAATTATGAAATGAAAATGAACATATCAAAAACCTTTTTCCTGTAGAAAGCAACACCGTGAACATTAAAGGGTATCTTTTTGTTCCGGAAAAACACCTGAAAAGCTCTACCAGAGATCTACATGGTTCAAAAATTAAAAATATGTTAGCAAAGTAATTTTGGCAGATTATCAATAGCTCCAAACAATCACCTGTCTGCGATATAGAATTGCGATATTGCCAAAAGACCTCTTAGAAGCAACATCACAAGATGTAATTTCTAATATTTTATCCAAAACAAACGAACATTGTGCATCTTCAGCATGACATTCCTTAATTGTTATCTGAAACTAGTAAAGGATCCAATTATTAAATCACTAACAAAAGATCCGATTCATGAACATCAAAAATACAATCTGCATTCAGATTTTGGGAGCAAGGATACTAAAGAGCCGCCAGAATTATTGGTCTCAACTTCCTTATGCTGACTTCGCTTGACATTGTGATTTATAACACATGATGCAGCCTCAACAATACAACGTGTAGAGCGGTAATTTTTAATCAACTTTATCTGCAATAATCAACATAAAATATTTAAGTTTCAATCTTAATAATAGCATTGACAAATATCATCATCAGATTCTAACAAAACACAAGTTAGCGGACATCAAAGTCTACAACGCAGGTTGCAAACCTCTCTGTGAGTTGGAAAGTCCCTACGAAATGAATCAAATCCATTGGCATCAGCTCCATTGAAACTGAATATAGACTAGAATAGGATAAAGCATTCAAACTATTTCAGATACCCATTAGCTCAAAAAAGATATTAAAACAAATTCACAACTCACTAATACGAAGAAAGAGCCATAAGATCTCTAATAAATTATATAAATCAAGTTGGAAGAAGTCAACCTGATCTTCATCACCAACAATTGTGACATGGTTATGGGATGCTAAAATCCTTAATAGAAAATATTGCATAGAGCTAGTGTCCTGAAATTCATCTACTACAATTGCCTTCCATGTAGCATGGCACTCTTTACGAACTACAATTTCATAAACATGGATTAGTAAGATATAGACAAGTAATCCACTGAATGAATAATTTTGTACAAACCTTCAAGAAAATCAGAAAGCAACCTTACGGAGCAATTAATAAAGTCAAGGTAATCCAGTGCATTGCATGATCTCAGTATATCATTGTATTTCTCAAATATAATAGCCTGATTAGATAGGTAAATAAAGAGAGAGAAAATAACCAAATAAAGGGCTAATAGCTAGTAAGGGTTCAGCAAGTGAAAGAATTGAAATGAAAAGATTAATAAAAAGAAATAAGAACAAAAACTACTCACTCCATTTCTATCACCCGTCTTTTTAAAGTCTTCAGGAGTCCTTCCAGATGTCTTAGCCTGAAAATAGTTAATCTAGTTATTATATTATAGACAAAACCAACGAACAAAGCTAAGTAAGAATCAGAAATTGAGATGAGGTGGATGCCATATAATCACAGCCGGTTGATCAAATCCATTTGACTGAATTCCTCTTTTCTCCCAACACAACTTTCTTCATTTGGAACCCCAATAGAGCCAAAATAAAAAGATAAGTTAAATACTTGAAACATTTTATCTTTCACCAGTATGCTCGAAATGTAAATAAGTCTTAATAGATGTATCTGAAATTTCGGATTATAGGCTAGGAGACATCAACGTCTATAAAAAGTACAACTCAAACATCAGTCACTCTGTAGTTCGAACAACCGATGATTCATTCTCACCAATAACAAGAAATGGATCAGTTGAATTGACAAAATATCTTCAATTATACCCTATTCTTTATGTTCCAAATTAGATTGCAATCTACTCTCAATCATCAAACTTGCTCGTGACTTAAAATGTGTGACTAGTCTTTCATTCTATTGTTTATGATTTTTAGGTAGTGGATTCGGGGAAGGTGATTAGAGTTGTTGAAATGCATGATGATCTATATTGGCTCAAAAAAAATAATCTCATCAGGAGACAAGTTCCTCCGGCAAATTTTATTTCAGAGTCTAGTTCAATTTTTGTTAATCTTGTTTCCAATTCTATATATGTTTTAGTTGAAAGTCGATTCATGTTAAGATATTGTCATCTTGGACATCCAAATTTTGCTTACATTTAAAAAATGTATCCACAATTACCTATCAATGAAAAAGTCCAATTTCTATCAAATATGAAAAGTGTCAACTTGTAAAGTATCATTTATAGATGATATCCAGAGATCCTAAGTAAAAAAAATAAATGGAGCACAATGATTTTTATCATTTAAAGATGATCCTGCTAGAAATATTTGAACATTCTTTATGAAAAAAAATCTAAAACTGTCATCAAATTTCAATCATTTCATTCCATGAAACCTTAATTTCAAAGCAAAATTCAACTTCATTTGATAATGTTACGGAAAACTTTAATTATGTTATTAGCACTTATCTTTACAAGCATGATATCATCCATATAAGTTATTGAGTGAATACACCTCAACAAAATAAGGTCGCTTAGAGGAAAAACATGCATTTACTTGAGGTAGCTTATGTTAATATGATAATTAATCATGAGTTTGTGCATTTTTGTCGAGAAGCTACATTTACAGCATCATATCTCATCCACAAATTCGCATTCTTTATTTTTCTCTGACTAACCATTGAAAATCTTTGGTTATTCCGCCTTTGTTCACACCCACCAATAAAACCGCACCAAACTCGATCCCAAATCTCTCAGATGTATCTTCCTCCAACTATAAAGAATACAAATGCTACTCTCCAATTGTTAGAAAAATATACAGCTTTATAGATGTCACCTTCTTTGAGAATCAATCTTAGTTTCCCGAAACTGAAATTCAAAGGGAGAACTTGATAGAATATCAAATTTAGAATCTTCTCCAAAACATTCAACCTGAAACAAACCTTATTACTCAAACAGCTAAACTAAATTCTACTACTCAACGGATTCTACTTGAAGAGCCAAGCTTTGCCACTGAAAATGTCTCAATTATCTCTACTTTACCTCAAAATGACACTAGTGATTAGGAACTTCATGCCAATATCAAAAATATAAAAAACACTAAGAATTTATAGGACACCATACAGATTAGGAACTATCAAGAATCTAAACCAAGTCATCCTGCATCTAATAATCATATAATGGTATGGATTTCTTATCTCATGTCCAATGGTGCACTAGTCATCCAATCGAAAAATATTTAGCTTTTGCAAAATTGTTACAATCTTATAGGGCTTTTATGACAGAACTTGATAATGTGCAGGTTCACAACTCTATTAAAGAGACTCTAAAGTTTCAGCATGAAAAAAAAAGTTAGAAAAATAAATTTCAGCTCTAAAAAATGATAGCACATGGAACTTAGTTACCACATGAAAAAACCTTGTAGATTGTGAATGGATGTTCACGGTTAAATACAAAAAAGATGAAAGTATAGGGAGATTCAAAGTTAGGTTGATAGTCAAGCGTTTCACACAGTTATATGGTATTGAACAAGATTGGTTTATACCAAACGAATGTCAAAAAGGTCTTCTTAAATGGGGACATCGAAAAGAAAGTCTACATCACCATATCTCTGCTCTTAAAAAATATGTCGAACAAGAAGTTGGTTTACAAGCTGAAAAAGTTATTATATGACTTGAAACAATTTTCTCATATTTGGCTTGCCTGGTTTGTTAAAATTACGATTACAAATAAATATCATCAATGTCAAACTGATAATACACTATTCGTTAAATCCAATTCTAGAGGCAAAATTACAATTCTCATAATATTTGTAGATGATATTACTATGACAGATGAAGATTCAGAGAAAATTATCATACTATTGCAATAGAATTTGAAATCAAGGATCTCAGAACTCTCAAATACTCTATGGAATGGAGTTGGTTCAGACTAAGGAGAAAATTATCATATCCCAAACAAAATACATCTTAGATCTGTTAAATGAAACCAATTTGGTTGGGTGTAAACTGGCTGACACACACATGAATCCCAACAAAAATTTGAACAAAAGTGAGACAAGCAGTCTAGTTGATGAATGAATCTATCAAAGATTCTCAAAAAATTTGATCTAACTATCACACATGGGCCTAATATTACATAATCGGTTAATGTAGTAAGCCAACAAACGAATAATCCAAGTGAATCATTTGGACGCAATGAACAAAATTTTCGTATGCTTAAAGATGACCCTTGAATATGATCTGTTCTTCAAAAATCTCAAAAACGTGAAATTCAAATATGTAGAGTGTGACTTCAAAGGCTATTAGGAGAACTTAAAGTTGAGACGAATGACAAAATTAAGATGTTCAGTGATAGTCAAGCAACTATTACAACAATAAAAACTTTATCCCACTAAGTGGGGTCGGCAACATGAATCATTTTTCTCCATTGTGTCCTACTGAGTGTCATATTTTCATTTAATTTTATACAATATGCCCTATACAATATGCCCAAGTCTTTCTAGGTCTAACTCTACCTTCTTTAGTATAAGTTGAATCTAAAACACCTACTCATTAATCGGATCATAAGATGGTAGATGTTTAATGTGACCAAACCATCTAAGATGACTTTCTCTAATTCAAAAAATATTATGCACCATGATAGAACAAAACACATTGAGATTGATCAATAATTCATCTCATAAAAGATTAATGGAATTGTCGGCTAAATTATGTTCCAACATGACTCCTTACTGTTGATATTCTCACAAAAGCACTATCAAGGGTTAGCCATGATGCATTAAATTCCAAGCTTGATTTGTATAAGAAACAACACAACTTGAGGGGGAGCATTGGAAGTAAAAGACCTATGTACTCTATTAGAAAGGATTTTATTTCTTCACTCAAAATAACTTTTAAATTTTATTTATTTTCTTTAGTAGATCCAAATATAAACAATGCAAATTGATCTCGACTCAATGTTGAGCTGAAAAAATCTTTGATCATGTCACAAGAACTTCTAATACAAGATATTATTCCATCATAAATATCTTGAATAACTTCAATACATAATTTTTTTCTCAAGGCTTCTAGTATTTGGATTACATACCTGCCCAAGATCAATAAAAATCATCACAAAGATCAATTATTAGCACTATTATGTTTTCCATAAATTTCCTAAACAAAATATCTGCTTCTATAGTTAACATTCCTAGCAACTAGAAACCTAGCATAAAACCAATTTGGTTTTCTGCAATCTATGTTATTTTTTAGCATACTGTCACGGACAAATAGTCCCACATTGGCTAGGTCTAGGGCCGAAAAACAGTATTTAAGTCCTGGGCTGCTCACCTCTCTTAAGAGCTCTTTTGGGAGGTGACAAGTGGTATCAGAACAGATTACTGTCTGTCAGGTGTGTGGACTCTCCATGGTCCAGTGGGACCCTCGGTGGAGCAGTGGAGAAGAATGTCACGGACAAATAGTCCCACATCGGCTAGGTGTAGGGCCAAAAAGCAGAATTTAAGTCCTGGGCTGCCCACCTCTCTTAAGGGCTCTTTTGGGAGGTGACAATACGCTTCATTATTCTCTCTCTCTCTCTCTCTCTCTCTCACACACACACATCGCTTTATTGTAAAAATTAAGCATGAGTCCTTTCTAATTAACACAATCTTGAATATCTATTTTATTTTTCTTAAATAATGACATCAAAATGTTGCTTTTCCAATGAATTGATTGAATTTTATCCTTCGCAATTCCCGTGAGAATATTTAGTAACAAAGCATTGCAGCATCTCATTTAAGACGTTAAATATTAATAGGTATCTTGCCTCAACCTAAAAATTCCCTGACATCCATCTTATTCAAGGCTACTCCATTTCTTTTTTGGAACAATCTTTAATATACCTCATTACTCTGTCCATCATGCACTTCCAAAATAACTTAGATTTAAATTTTATTTAATAGTTTCTATAATGATTTCTTAAAATAGCATTTTCATCAGTTTTGTGATATCAAAATCTTTCACTAAAGCCATATTATTATCTTTCGTGGTGCGTTGAACTTGATCAAAATATCAAGATATCTTATCTCGCCTTAACTGGTATAAAAATCTATTTTCCTCCTACAACAAAATCTAATATAAAAAACATCCAGTCACAACCATATCAGGCATAGCTCAGCTCAATGCATATTTTCCTGCAATTATAACTACTTATAATCATATTCCTGATAGTATTCACTTTCTCAACAATTTAAATTAAATATTATTTCCCTTGAGTGTATTGTCACTAAATCACCAAGTCACTCTATTAGCATGCGATATCTGTAAATTCCCCAAACCCTCTACAATAAAATGTTTAATGCAACTAGCCATCTTACTCAAGGTCCCATAACACATTACATTCAAGTAGAAAATTCTAATCAGTCTTTCCTTAATACATATTTTGAAAGTTTATCAATTTCTCACCTTTTAAATTACACCAACTAATCTTATGTAATTATTACTTTTTACGTCTTTTTAACGTTTTAAGATAAAAATATACAAGTAGTACATAAAAAGTGTGTTCAAACTCTCTCATGAAACCACCACAAAATATTTGCAAAAAGAATATTTTTCCCTTTCAATTAAACATTATTTTATGTATGATTTGGTTTTCTACTTTCAAGTGATTAAGGGTTCGTTTGAGATGGTAGTAGATGCTTATAATATTAGCTATGAAACTATTGACCGAAAAGCCAACTTTTTTAAAATTGTTGTGGGTAAGATATTTTTTTTTTTCAAACAAAAAAATAATGAAACAATGGAATTCATATAGCTGCCTTACTCTAGCAGATTTAACCACAAAACTTATTTGAGAAGCAGTCAAAAGATTATGGTCAAACAAAAATATGACAACCAATAAAATAAAGCTATAAAAAAGTTATCTCAAGGTTAACCTAAGTGTCATTTTTGCTTCTTAGAGTATGCAATCGTTGTTACAAGATCATGGATACATTGATATCAAGCAATAACTTCTTTTATTGCAATTCATCTCATATTGAATATTCATCTTAAATCCTCTCATACTCCATTCCACTATAGTCTATATATTCAAATCATGTTCAACAAAATATTCTTTATTCCATGTGCATATTTGCAGCGGTTCATTCATCCCTTTAATAAAGTATTTTTTTTCAAACTACTAACTAACTCAAAATGAAAAGCGTTAGTACTAACTATATTTATATTGTAAAAACACATAACTATCTTCAAGGTAGTCACTCTAACTCTAATTTTATTCACCTCAATAATTCTATTTTTGCCTCTCAATCCACAACCATCTCATTCTCATTTATTTTATATTGTAGACTTCAAATAGTCTCATGATCATTTGTATGTGGTCAATTCAATCCTAATATATTACATTTCTCCAATTTGGTATCTCGAATATCTAAATAATTAAGGGGATAAAATTGGGATCAATTTCATATCAAAATTTCAATATGATAACCATTTTTTCAGTAATTTTGTATAGTTCAGAGACTAAATTGGACAAATGTGATAGTTTGAGATTAAGTTGGCCACGCATGAACTTATCAGGAATTATTTTGGGATTTAATCTTTACTTTTATTTGTTAAGTTTACCAACATGCAATAACTTATAACCATCTGTAATGTCCAAGAGTAAATAATTCCAGATCATGAACTTTTTTAAAGATCAAGAGAAATCTTTCAAAAGAAAAACTATAAAACCTAAAGAGTTCAAAGGATAACAAAATATTTAGCTCTATAGATGTACACATATGGATAAAAGTTGGATATAATAAAAGTACCTGTATCACAAATTTCAGCCACTTTTTTGAAGTTGCTTTCAAACGGTGTGAGATATCACCATTCTTAAGTTCCTCACAACCTTCAGTTTCTTGGCCTTTCTTCTCATCGCTATTTGTCAGTCGCTGTGCCTCTATAATGGCTCTCCTTTGTTGTGCATGCCCATATATAAAAAATTCAGCTGTGCGCCCTAACCTGCAATGCACAAGGCATTATTATTTCGTAATTGAAGAATATGCTTGATTGATTTCATAAATAAGAATGCTTGGATATGAGAATACAGAAACTCCAATGGACCCAACACAAACAAAAAAGGGATCCCCATTAACAACAACTCTTTCGAAAAGGTGGGTATCAACACCTTATGTGAAAATTTGTATACTTAATAGTGTGTTCTCTATTAGTGTTGTAAGGCAATACATAAACAGCCTTATTGAAGAGCACATTGAAGGTCTTAATTCCATTTTAAGGTAGGTCAAAATTACATCATAAAAAATGCAAAATATATAAAAAGACATCAAACAAGAAAATTAAAATTCTCGCATATATAAATTGGGTTGGAGAGGTATCAGACCAAAAATCCACCCCTTGTTATTCTACTTGAGTATGGAGAAACCTAGTTACGTCAAGATGTAAAAAATAAGTGGGGTCTCGTTAAGTATTGTTAAACCTCAATACAGGCCATTGAACCTGATATGTGCAAAGGAGTATGGTTAAAAGGATTGTTTGAAGAGCTATACTATCAGATGAAATATCTAAAAATGCAATGTAACAACAGATTTCTAATAGGTATTGCAAAAAAAATATGCTCGACATGACAGGATTAAACACACACACGGCGAGAGATCAACATTCATATTGAACTAACTGAACTAAATTACGCTCCAAAAAATTCTCAAAATACAAATATCCACTCTAAGAATTTACCCAGAATCAATTTACACAAATTCTCCAACATGTTGAAATAATTTTAAATTCGTAGCAAGCACATTTCCATTTACAACAATCCGTTAACAAGAACTTTCTATACACAACAATCAAATGAAGTGAATAAAAACTTTTTATTTACAATAATCCAAATTTTCCTTGACAAGTGTTACTAAAAGACCGCTACGAAGCGTCCGTTAGAAGTAAAGCAGCATGCTGATCCAACACATTGCTTGCCTGTCAAGCACAAGCTTGCAGCAAAGAGCACATGTTCCGCAACTTCCCTGTGTCACATCACAGCATTGCATGCTTAACTTCCCCTAAAAACCAAATTCTAGTTCAAAATTCATGATTTGGTTCAGCATATGATGTAATAACTATGCATGAATGTTCTTATTTCTCATAATTACTGAGTCATTGCTCTTTGGTTTTATATTCTCTCCTATTGAAGCTAATTATTGCTTGGTGGTTATTCTATTCAAACTCTCTCGCAAACTAGTTTTTTTGCACACTTTTCATTGATTCCTATTGTTGATTCCTCTTGTTGATGTATATAGCTTCTCAACACAAGCTTCTTCCTGGAATGTTTAATGATGTCCTATCATCGATCTCTAATGCTTCACGTTGCCTCCACCTCTTAGTCTCTAATTGGTCACTTAATGTGATGAGTATTCTTGAGTTTTCATTATCTTATCAGCATTTCAATATTGAAAAAATTTATTTTTTCATGTTTGAATAGCTGAAAATTTACTTTTATTAAAAGTATAATTATATTTACAAAATAATACTTAAGGTGGTTTTGTTTAGCAGACAAAAACGACTGTTACATGAATATAATATATGCTCATAAACACTCTTTACAAAGAATCATTTCATTTTGCACTTAACGCATTGAAACCAAAAAAAATCCCTACACATCACACTACAGTCGGTGCTTTTAAAATACGGTTATGGACAATAGCATTTAATCTAAGTTATTTGGATAATTAGGGATTCAAAAATAATATATTAATTTTCAAATTTGGTTATTTCCTTTAAGGACATCTTTTTACGTATTTATGTACAACTTCTCAACTTGTGTTTTACAACGACAAAAAAAATAAAATTTATATATAAAATCTTCTATTTTTTACTCACCACTCTTCTCGTTCTAATTATCAATAATAACAAATTTAAATTGACTGCACAAAACTCCTCAAGAAGACTACACTGAGTAAGGATTTCCACAAACTTGTTCAAGAATGCAATCACAAATTGATTATTCTGTTTATGATTCATCAACAATTCAACTAGCAATCTTTTTGTAATAAGTTAGAAAATATTTTGCACAATCCAATGTTTTATTTCGCTTGAGATAAAAATGCTGGTTTGTATTCTAAACCAACAACAATTCTGTCAAAACCATTATGCTTATCCTAAAGATTTGATTAACAAAACTTTAACTCTCTGGCATCACCAATGCAAGGTTAGGCAAAGTCCCCAATTTTAGATAGCCAATCAAAAAAGCCTTCCATATCATGTTATCTTGTCAAAAGTATAAGCGTCAAACTTTCTAACAGTTCAAAAATCAACATCTCTATTAGAGTGACATTATAAATTCTAATATCTAGAGAATAAATAGCCACTTTATTTTTTCAATTTCAAACAACTCAACGCACAAGTAAGATCATAGACAATAACTAGCTTTATTATAGTGCCATGATTGATTCACACACAGATTGAATCCTAGGAATCACTCCTCGTTGACCTGCTAGATTTGCAAGAAAACCCTGAGGTCATTCACTAAATTTATTTTAACTTTCATTTGGGATCCACAAAGTGATTTAATGGGACAAAATATCAAATCAACCCAAATCATTTTGAAATTATTTTTAGGAATGAGTAATTTTGCAGCTGATGTTGTTCTAAATTTCAACCAAATGGCTTTTTTGTAATATGCAATAGCCAGTACTAAGTTTTCATGTTCCATGAGAAACAAGTACTGTTATTAAATAAAATTGACCATACAAAAAATATATCAAGCAAATATATGATGAATGCAACTAGATAGTACATAATTCTAAAAATGAATGCAAACTTAATCCTTTTCTAGTATCAAAATATCTTTGCATAAAAAATAAGTGAGAAAACAACCAATTTGGTTTATTAAATAATCTAAGGTCTGCATAACGAAACTTTTTTAGGTGTATAAAAACAACCAAATAGTAAAGCAATATTAGATATGAAATAAATGTCCTAATGTTATCCTTTGTAAGCTTCAATAGCAATAAGCACAAATTAAATTATTTTTTTGGTTTATTTACTTTGTGATATAAGAGAATCAAGGTTAAGTGTGTGATGCATCCTTTTCCGTACAAGAATTATGACTCTCAAGTCTCAACTCCATAAGCCAATCCTAATCATCCCACTTTCCTTGATCCTAATCGCCATAATCACTTTTTATTGACTTCACAGACACATCAGTCATCATCCTTCTCCCTCTTCCTCTATTTTATCCAGGGGTGTACAATCAGGTTCATGAGTTCGGTTGGTAACCCAAAATGGGTCGAACCCAAAACTGCCTGACTTGAACCCAATACGAATAATAAATGGGACTGAAAGTACAGTCAGAACCCAACCCATAACCCTTTTAACATGAGACATTACAGCTATTCAGCTCTATTTCAAGTCAATCTCGATCAATTTTAATTTGGCATGTCGATTTCAAGTCAATTTAGGGTTAATGGTCAGTTTCAAGTCAATTTAGGATTAGTGGTAAGTTTCAAGTCAATTTGGGATTAGTGGTCAGTTTCGAGTCAATTTAAGATTTGTGTGTAAATTTGAATCCGACCCAAAAAAACTAAATGGGTTAGGATTAATAACTCAAACCTAACCCAAAAATTATTTAGGTCAGCCCGAGCATAAATATCTCGAGTTTACTTTAGGTCAAGTTAGCTTGTCCGGTTAATTTTTGACACCGCTGGATTCTTATCCCATAGATCAAAACAAGTCATTGCATACGCCCTCTCATCTCTTCTTCAATTAGAGTCAAGTGAGACTCCAATATCACAATTCAAAGCCACAAGGCACAAACTCATTGTTGCATCTATCCTTCCTATGCCACACTATCACTGCAACCTTGAGTAAAAATTTATAGGGGAACCGTGCTATAGTGTTGGTATGGCAACAAAAATATGGTGTCGTAAGAAGAAAAATAAGAACAAGCTCGATGAATGTATACTTTTCAGCATGTGAACGGCACAGCTGTAAGCAGAACGAGTGGAATGTGCTGATTGCAAGCTCCTTAGCAATTGCCTTGCCTACAACTGCCCCAATCCTATCTCTCATCTCAGATGCAGCAGCAGTTGTGAAGGTCATGGCAAGTATATTAGCAGGACGAATTCCCTGGTAAAACAGGATATGACAATACTGTGGGAGATCATCCAATTATCAAAGTATAAGATGTAGAAGCACAGTCATAAATAATACCTCCTTCAAAAGATTCAGCACTCGTCCAACCATGGTTGACGTCTGTCTAAGAACTAAGAAATCAGAATAAGTACCCGTAAAGAATTAATACATTCAGAGCGATAAGGAATGAAGAAACCTGCCTTTCCACTTCCTGGGCCGGCTACAATCATCAATGGAACTGATATATTGCTGCAAGCAGCCTCTCTCTGAGCATCGTTCAGCGATTGAAAGTAATCGTGATACTTTTTTGGCATCTCATCGCATCTCACGTCTTCAATAAAACTAGAACTTTCCTCTGCTTCGTTACCGTCGTCACTCTCCCTCCCCGCGTTTGGTTTATCCTTCTTCACACAGAACAGTTGGTCGCAGATAGTATCTACCTCCTCCAGAAACGAGTCATCCAGCTCCTCATCGAGAATGCTCGATGACGGAGTCGAATCCTTGACCTGAAACGGACAAACTCCCAAGGGCTTCACGGGAGTGGAAAACCCGTTCCGATACTCTAACCCGTTGTGGATATCTGAAAGAAGCGCTCTAACGACAGGAAAGCCTTGAGGGCTTGAGCCATCTATCACACTGCATCTGAAAAGAGACATATAGGTGTAGTAGCAGATCAAAACATGAATACTGAAAAAAAACAAAAACGAAATACAACGAAGAAGAAAAAAAAGGTTAGCGAACTTGGGATAACGAAGAAGAGGGACGGGATCAAGGGGCCGCTTCCGGTTAAGCAGGGCTTTAGCGGCGCGGAAGTTGCTGGTGATTCGCGTTCTTTGTTCCTCAGTCATTACCTCCGCCGCCGCTGGCGGCGAGCATGCAGATGAGAGAAGAGCAAAGCCTTGAAGAAGTGATCGTCCACCGAGAGGGAATCGAGAATGACGAAAACCCTAGAAAGCAAACGGGCTCGATCAGAGCGTGAGTGACAAGCCTTGAGCAAGAGCGGGAGAGAAAAGAAATTCGAACCGATCACCGTATATATATATATATATATATATATATATATATATAGTATTGATTTACAGGATTTTGACTAAGGCCCCTTTGGGGCAGCTTACAAGTGCGGCGGTCTTTTTTTAAAAAATCGTTATATTATTTATTTTGCACGTTTTAATTGATTATATGTAAACCGCGTTTTTTTATTTTGAGAAACGCAATCACGGGTATAACCCGCGATCAGCGGTTCGAACGTCTGACCGCGATATATTTTACGCGTCTGTCCCTCAGCGGCCCCACATCGGTACCCTAAATTTATCTTCGGACGAAGAAAGTAGCGTCTGCCTCCGCACACTCGATTCGGCCGAAAGCCTCTCCTCCGAACTCCCAATTCAGCAAGTTTTTTCTTCGACATTCTCGGCAAGTAAAACTTCTTCCTTGCCCTTTTTTTCGCAATTCCTATGGCTTTTCGACAGCCATTACTTCCTCTTCTTCGCACTTCGACGAGCATTTCTACAATATTTCTTCCTCTTCTTCTTATGCATTTCTTTCTCTTGTAAATTTTAAAATGTGTCAATACAGTGAACACAATTTGTCTTAGTCATTTCTTCCTTTTATTAACAAGTCATGATTTCATGCCTGAGCATATATTTGGGTTGTATCCATTTCTAAGGAATAGCAGATGGAAGAAGATAAGATTTCAATGGTCGCCTTTAATTAAAACTTGTATGTGTTTTCTGCTGGGATCTACATATGCAACAAACAATTCAATTAGTTATGTATTCTAAAATGTATATTTTATTTGTCTGGTTAGATAAGGAGGAAGATTATGTCATTGAGATAATTTTTAATATTTGTTGTATATTAAACATTTTCTGAAGCAAAGACAGATTGTTGTTGTATTATATATTATGACATTTCAGTTGTAAATTATCATTGTTAATATTTTGGTTATACCAGTGCTCTTTTTTTTTCTCCAACATTATATGTTGTTTTAGTTAAGAAATTCATGACAATAGGTTGGAGATGTTATAATATAGGGGCAAAAATTGGGGAAAAAATTATATTTAAACATATAAGAGATTAAAAAACTAAAGCAAAATTGTCTGAATGTTTGTATCATACTTGAGCATACTTGATTGTACATATTAAGCTTGTGTGGAGTTTTACATTTCTAAACACACTCAATGGCACCCCTACAGCAATAGTTAGGAAACTTAACATATTTTCTTATGGTTTTCATATTGCTCTCCTATTGTTAATATGAGTTATTGCATTCCATCTGAAACTTTAAAATTATGCTTCTTTACAACTTTTACATATGAACTTTAAAATTTCCAACACTCATGTTGTGGTATTAACTCAATGTGAAATAGTTCATATCACAAATTCTTTCTCAAATGTTTTTCTAATAGTAAGGTCTTCTTTAATGTTTAAAGCTTCATTGGATTTTTAGATTTTTTATGCTCGTGTTATTGAGTTTCTTATGTGAAGTTGTTGCAGCATTATTGGATTTTTTATGCTCATATTATTAAATGCATTCTTTTCTTATTTAACCTTTCACCAGTAAGTACAGCAATGAATAAGAACAAAGAAGTTGGATCATCTATCATGTGGGATAGGGAAACAACAAATATTTTCTGTGATCTCTGTCTTAAGAAGGTGGAGCTAGGAAATAGGCCTACAACATATTTTAACAAAAAATGTTGGCAGAATCTTATTGTCAAATTCAAGGAACTGGCAAGAAGATACTATGATATGATGAAATTTAAGATTAAGTTGGATCAATTAAAAAATGATTGAAAATTTTGAAAACAACTTAAGAGGGGAACTACAGGTTTGGGCTGGGATCCGGTGAAGCAAACAATAGATGTTTCTTAGGATTTGTGGGCTGAGAAATTAGAGGTAAATACTTATCTTATATAATTTCCTTATTTCAATTTTAGTTATATTAAACTGATTTAACTAATTTAATTTTCTATGTCGTGCAGGTCGTGCCAGCAGCTAAGAAATTAGAAATTCAAAAATGAATGGCAGTGATCCAGTGATGGAAGAGAAGCTGAATGGTATGTTCAGTGGGGTTGTTGCAACGGGAGCACATGCTTTCACCCCATTTGAACCTAACTTCATTGGCACAGTTGATGTTCTTGGAATTGATAATGTAAGTGGGTTCATGAGAATTGCCTTGCGAAATCCATAGGTTAGTGGAATCCTCATTCATTCCAAAACGGCGTAGGGTGGAGAAAAGGAAGAAAAGAGCCACATTCGTGAGAAGCACAAAAAAAAACTTGCAGAATGCTGCACTGTTAAGCTTGCTGCATCACAGGATATATTCTTTGAGGGATGCCTTCAAATCCTAAATACACATGCTAAGGTTAAGGCGGACATGAAAGTATATCTCAATTGTGTTAAGTTAATACAAGATCCAGTTTGTAATTTTTTTTTTTGTGAAGCTAGAAGCATAATACCAAGTCGATTTCTTACGTTCCTTCTTGGAAAACTGAATGTTTTGAAAACTTCTCGTTTTTTTTTCTTAAAATTGTTTGTACGTTGTAACGGGGATCTTTATTTTTTTTTCAAACACTTTTTTTTTCTATGCACTCCTTACAGTTGAGATTGTAGTTCTCATATCTTATGTGGTTATATGTTATATGAATGTCATTAAATGGTTGAAGGTTTTAACTATTCTCTTTAGACTAATTTTTGTGGGATGAATCCATAACAACTGCACTATGTTAGAAAGATTATGTTTATTCTTATTTTGTTATACGCCTACTACCTCACATACATCAACCGAACTCCATGAATGACGTCGAGATATGTTGGCGATAAATGGGTCGGTGAGTTATTACAAGGCCATCTGACACGCTTCGCAAACACGTTCCGTATGATGAAAGAGATTTTCATTGATCTGCTCTACGAATTACAACACCAACTTGGTTTGAATGGCTCAATCAAAATGACATTAAAAGAGGTGCTAGTAATAACACTCAATATATTATCTCAAAACGAGTCCATTAGAGAAACTATGGAACGATTTCAACATTCATCAGACTATCAACATGTATTTCTCCATTGGTCTGAATGCTCTAGTAAGTTTAGCCTCTAAGATAGTTAAACCCGAGGATCCGGCATTTCAATCCATCCCGACACAAATTGCGAATGACCCTCGCTACATGTCGTTCTTCAAGGTATATCTTAAACATCTCATTACTATATTAAAATTAGTTACCTCTCAATCATTAATGGATTAAACATTATTAAATTTAGGATTGTATAGGAGCTATTGATGGAATTCACGTTGATGCACGTGTATCTGACACCGACAAGGTGGTCTACATTGGAAGTTGTGGTTCTCCCACACAGAATGTGATGGTCGCATGTGATTTTAACATGTGTTTCACATTTGTGATGGTCGGATGGGAAGGTAGCGCATACGATAGTTGTGTTCTTAAGTTTGCAACAAGACACAAACTTATTACTTCCCGTACCCCCCTCGTGGTATGTAATTATAACAAATATTTTAGATATTTATGTGTCGTTTCTAAATTAGTATTTCGTGCAGGTAAATATTATCTGGTTGACGCTGGATATTCCTTATAAAGGGGTTATCTAAAGCCTTATGCCGACACGAAGTACAACATTCCCGACTTTGAGAGGTCAAGTGGGATTGCACGTGGAAGAAAAGAAATATTCAACAAATGACACTCCTCTTTACGTGGTGTCATTGAGAGGTCATTCGGGATATGAAATAAGAAGTTTGTGATATTACGTGATAAGCCAACCTACCCATTTCCGAATTAAGTAAAAATAGTTGTGGCTACCATAACTATGCACAACTACATCCGACGCCACCACTCTTGCTATGATGTGGAATTTGCATCTGTAGAAGAAGACCTGCATCAGATTCCACAAGAAGCTTTTGAATTCCTTGTCGGACATCCCATACCATAGGAAGACTCGAAACATACTAACAGTCGCGAAGGTGAAGATGCAAGGGAAATGGCCGCATTGTGAGACAAGATAGCGGACAAAATTGCTCGATCATGACACTATTTTTTCGTGGGTCCTTAAACTTTATTTTTGAATATGAATATACATATCTTTGGAAGGAAAGAAATTATAATCAAGGAAAAAATTTTATTGTATTTTATCCATAGTTTCTCCATTTTTGTGTTTGTCTTGTATTGGCTTCGAGTTTGCAGTTTTTGGTCATTGGATGCCGTTGGAAGGAGTTTTACTGTTTAAAGCATTTTGCATTTTAAAATACATAAGAATTATGTGGTATATATGTATATTTTTTTGGAAGATCTGCGTCCATATCACTCGGTTCTCATGTATTTACATGTCTGACATCTAAACTTTAATTTTTTATGTGCATACCTCCTTAAGCATGAAAAGATCTGAGTGGTATAGATGTAAAAATCAAATTTTAGGTGTTAGATATGTTAATACATAAGAATTTGGTGGTATGTGTGTAATTATCCTCTTTTTTTTCGTTTATTTACCAATCAAACTTTTTGTATTTGCTCTTAAAAATTTAGCAGTTTGGCAGCAAGTGGTTTCAAATTATACTGTTGCAGATTTATGTATTTTTATTTGGCCACATATGATTTATAAATATGCTTTATATATTTTCTATTTGGCCACATATGATGGCTAGTAATCGTTCAGCAGCAGGGGTGAGGGTTTTGCCGCTGCTCTCTCTAACTCAAGTTGCTCCAGGAAACGCAATTATATAGACTTCTTATATGGTTGTTATGTGGATTTATAAATATGCTTTATGAAATGTTGTTGTAATTTGCTTCATTTACGATTATGAAGGTTTGAGAGGCTTGGTGGTGATTTATAGTGTAGTTATAAAAGTGATAT